CTCTTCGCACACCTTTGTCTTGGGCTATATGGCCCTCCATAATGAAAGCATCTACCTTCCTCCCTTCATTTGATATATTCAGGATAGGTAGTGTCCTACTTCCTCTGTTACGTGCTTCTCCCCCGCATTGCTTCCTACTCTAGAACTCACTATAGTATTAGTTTCATCTTTCTTCACACCACTGTTTCCACCCTGCGTCTCCTGGCTTCCCCTATACATCTTTGTTCGAGTACCCATCCCCGAACTCCTTTGGTATCTACCCCACAACTGTCCCTCCCTTGCTCGTCGCGCTTCCACTCATTCGAGGAAGAACCCCTGCCTGTTCTACATCACGCGCCACTTCCATCGCCGTTAATAAATCCTTTGGGTTATGAGTCTGATATGATCACGGAGATTTTCTTGCAACCCCACGAAGAAATAACCCAATAATTGCTCTTCCGGCACCCCGTTGGCCTGTGCCACTAGCATTTCGAAATCATGGATATACTCCTCAATCATCCTCTTCTACCTCACCGTGGCCAGTTTCTCGAAAATGGATCCTCTATTTCTTCCGTCAAACCTCCTTTGTAAAGCCTCCGTCAATGTCGTCCAAGATGGGTTCTTGGTCTTCTTCTTCCATAATCGAAACCAATAACTCGCCCCCCGTTCCATACTGATATATGCAAGTTTGATCTTTTCCCTTTCTGAGATGTTCTGAATATTAAAGAACCTCTCTACCCTCGCGATCCAACCCATGGGATCCGTACCCTCAAACGTGGGCAATTCCAAACGTTTCATCCAGCTTCTCTGAACGTTTAGTCCTCCATTAACCGAGTTGTGATTGCCCTCGGAGCTTCTTTCCTGGTTCCCTCCTCTTCTCCCAAGAACGCGACCCAAATCTTGGGTCGTCCCTCGCATCTTCGCTCGAAATTCCTCCATCGTCGTTTCAATTGCGTCAAACCGTCCCTCCAAAGCGTTCACCTTTCTCTCCATCGTGAGCCTCACCTCTGTTTGGGATCCGACAAGTCGGACCAAACTTGATAGACTTATTTTGTCAAGAAGTCGATCACATGTAACAACACACACACCAACACTAGCAAGAACTGAAAGAATGTATATTATTGATGAAAGAGTGAACAATGTATACTCTCAACCTCCTAGGAAGTCCTCTCCCTCCACTGGAACATACATCCAGTCTATACATAACAGTGTACAAAAATAATCCTTCACCCTGTACAACCCATTCTCCTATTTATACAACTCCCTTTCCCTCATTATTACTAACTCACCGACAGAATCGCCTCTATTCATTATTACTAATTAATAGAACTACCTTTTCCTCCTACTCATTTATTCTTTCTTCTTTCGTATACTCTAAGTATTCTATTAAACTTGCTCTTTGTGAATTTCTTGTGGACATAATTAAAAATTCATTTGCTATCTAATTCAGTCATTTTAATTTGTTGTATAATTTGTCCTTTCTTCCTTAATCCCAATTATTGTTTTCAATTTTGTACTATTTAATTTATTTACCATCTTAACTTGTTTTAATTGAAAGAACTTGTATTAAATTCATAACCTATTTACTTAATTAATTTTAGCTCTTGCGATTTGTAATACATAAATTACACTTTACTGGATTTAAAAGATTTAGTGATGGTGAAACATGAGAGCAAGATCTTAGTAAGGAAAATAAAATTGCAATATCAAAACTAACTTGGTTTTTGAATTTAGCTCATCCTTACATGTAGATTTTATGAAGAATATATTTCTTAGCAAATGCCAACAACCTATTAAAACATAAAAGTCTTCTACTAAGTGGAATAATATAACAATTTGGTTAGAGAATGGAAAATTTAGCACAATGGGTGACTGGACAACTTAACTTAAGAATTGAGATTCTTTCTTCTTGAACTTCCATACATTTGATCATACACTTCCATAGACTTGTGAAAAGATTTTTACCCTTATATCCTTCCTTCTCCAACTAGCAATCGTCTCTCCATGTCCTCTCCCCATGCAATCTCCCCCACATTGTCTCTCCCACACTTTCTTCACACCCTTTATCCGCCCCTCTTCATCTTTTTCTTGGCTAAATATAATTTTTTATCCCTATTTTCGTCCACTTTGTTCATTGTAGGACTCGACTTTTTCGAGTGTTCAATATGGTCCCATTTTTCATAATTTTTGTTCAATTTGTTTCTTTTGCATGACGACATCTAAATAGTTAATGGCTTAGTGTCCACGTCAGTGAATGAGTCGTTAGTTTTTGGCATACGTGGCAACTTAAAGAAATAGTGACATGGAAATCTAGTATTTCAAAGTGATTTTCTTCGAACAAATTTGACATTGGTGTTGAAGTGTGTTTTAGAAGTTTGATCACAATCGCGTGCACCAATAGTGGGATGATTTTTCATTGAAATTGGAAGTTGAGAAGCCTAGGTCAGGTATGCATTCTTAATCCAAGGTTGAATTTTTGTATTGGGGTATTAGGGTTTTTGTCGCTTTCTTGGGTTTTCTTTGATTTCGTATTTTGTGTGATGTGTTTTGGAGAAATGAGTAAAATGTTCTTTTTGGTGTGAGTGGGTATCAGTTTGGTGTGTAACATTTTGTAATTGTTTCTTAGTGGGTGGTTGTCGATTTTCAATATTAAGATTCATCTCCTAGCTTTTACTTTAAGCTTTTTGAGTGGTTTCATGTCGGTTTTCATTTGTAGGGTTGGATCTGGAAAGTGTGACTACAAATTTGAAGTTGTGATCCACCATAATGGGGAAATCACTTATTGGAATGTTGATCTCAATAAATCAAGTTATTTCGAAGTGGTAACTGTCCTTAAGGATGTGGACTATATTGAAGTAAATGAGTTGTTTCCATCATTTCAAGAATAAAACTTATATACTATTTTCTGACCATTGGTTCATTAAATTCATTTTATTTCTTTTTATCATTTATTTTGGCAATGGACTTCTTCATATCTTTTGACTCTATATGCAAAGGTGAGACACACCTCAGCCCTATCTAAAATGTTCCTATTGTATCATGAAGAACTTGAGGGGATATATTAGATAAGTCCTTAAGATTAAGCAATGGAGTTTACAACTCAAGGTCATGTACTGATTTTCAAAATAACCGTGACAGGAAGTGTCTATGTTTATTTGTATTTGTATTTCCTACAACATGATTAAGTACAACATTATAGCAGGCCACTACTTCAGAAACCACAACAAAGAAGCACATATCTAGGCAACAGTTGAGTCAATTTTCAAAGCGTAAAAGTTTAGTCACATATTTCAATGTGAAACCAATGTGATCTCCAACAGAAATTGGTTTCATTGGGTAATGTCAAAATGCAACTTCGTTTTATCTACACATGACACAATCTAAAGAGCACAAGTTCGCTGAAGATGCACCATAGAGAAATTAATAACTTAAATAGAAGGGTCCATAACCAGCGCATAGACAATTCAGAAAGATGAGGTTTATGTCTGAGATAGGCTTTTCCAAATTGTATCAACTAACCTGGTTTCCTTATATATTGAACTTCCTCAGGAGAATTTTCTTCTGCCTGTCAATCAGCACCTGATGCTTTGGCTTCAACACATGCTTTGTAATATTAACAAGCAACTTTGTGATCTAAACAGCAAGGAAAAAAGATTTACATGGGTTTTTGGGCAAGAAACGAAGTTTTTGTCAGCATAGACAAGAAAATCGGTCAATAAGTTTCATATTAGAGGAAAATGAAACTACCGAAACATCTTTCATGTTATAGGTATTATTAAAAAAATAACTTAGTTATAACAATTACAAGTGTTTGATGGATCACAATTGAAGCAAATATGGGTACAAAGTGAAGCCATTCAGGATGAGATGCCATAGTTACTCAAAATTTGCAAGCATCACAAAACTCATTGTTGTCTCTAGCAAAAAATGGTATGTCAAAGTTAGACAAACTCCCAGTTTATGCATGACAGAATATCATATATACTTGAAGATTGAACAAACAGGGACTTCAGTACATATATATTCATGCTTGACACACGTGTTAAATGATCATAACAGTTTAAATAATAGAGTTTTCTATCATATGAAAAAAAAAATTTGAGAAGACTGTCTCGCTACATATGCCATGTAATGATTGGACCTCTCCTACTAATGAACTAAGAAATAGAATACTGAAGTTTCAAAGCTTCTAATCTGTCTTTAATTAGCCAAGTAATTATAAACTGTTCTCCAACATATTAACCACTTTTAAAAAAATTTCTGACTTCAAAGACTACAAGGAATTATTTTCACTTTCTTCATCTTTCCCTTCCACAAAGGAACGATTTCCTGCTGAACCTTATTCTTTACCGTTTGCATTGTACTGGCCATCTTTAAATTGCATCTTCATGAAACTATAGACATGTACTCCAATACAACATGAACATAGAAATGCAGAAAACGGTGAGACAATGACAAAATTATGACAACATGTGAAGTTAATAAAAAATTATCACATGAGCACAATTTTTAATTATGAGATAGAATCGATCATTTGAAAGTTAGCATAAGTAAATAAATCCTATCATTTATCTATTTATTATAATACACAGTATTTCCATTTATGTTCGTGTAAAATTCATAACCATAAAAGAATGTAGTTGAGAGTGTTCGGCTTTTAGAGTGTCCGAGTTAGATTGATAACAAAAGCATAGGTGAGTTATGATCTGAGAGAAGGTCATGGTTTCTGGTTAAGGAAAAAGCTCTTGCTTTCAATAATTCAATAGCAAGTAGCTAATTGAATTTTGGAGGAAATTACTGGCCTACAATCTCAGTGGGAAAACGTTTAACATTATTTTAACAAAACATATTAGCTTAATCGAGCATTTGAAAAAGACTTCGAAGTTTGATCACCTGACATGGAAAAGACTTCGTTTTCCAACAGTGCGTAAAATAAACATAAGGGAAAATTTTGACAATATGTCGTGCAGTAAAATCAAACAATGAGTGAATTAAAAAGGATAATCGCAAGCATCAGCCACTTAAATATGTGTAAGAATAGTTGATACTAAGAATGTAGAAAAACGAATGGAAAAGTTGCAAACGTTTAACTTGTACCAAAATAATGTTTGACGTTTACTAGACTTACGACACTAATTTTATGACAATCAAATTTGTGGACGACCTAACAATAACAATTAAAACTTTTCATTGTAGTATTTGACTACCATAATCAGCATTGAACTTGTCGTATTTGTGGGCATGGAGATGAGCTGATGGTCTTGTGTTTCTTAATGCAATTTCTATATCTTCAGATCTGATTGGCCCAATTTTTGGCAACTCTGCAACCCAATGATTACTTTCAGTTCAAAAGGAGTAAAATTAAACTCAAGTAAATATTTAAGAAAATAGGCAACACATTGTTAAAAGGAAATCTACATAAAAGAAGCTGTTATCATCAATGTTCCTGTGTAAACAGACCACATACCATCTTCAGGAACCACCTCCTCCTGTCTCTGCTCAAGTTGTGACATCAAGCGTCTCAAGGGCTGCATTGCTGTTTCTTTACAGAGTAATCGGATATCTGACCCAGAAAATCCTTCTGTCTGATCCACAAGCAAATCATAGGGGATCGGTTCCTCGTCAGGCTGCACAGGAAGGAGTTCCTCAAACATTGCTCTCCTCGCTACTGGTTCTGGAAGTGGTACAAGGATCTTTTAATTATGGTTAAGGAGCAACCATTAGAGACAGAACTATCTTTCAATTGCAACATCAGATTACTTATATCGCATCATCTATATACGTATTGGACTAAGATCTATTCTCAATATTAAAATTTTTGTTTCACCACCACAGATATCCCCAATCAAGACAACAATTCTATCCCATATCTTGAAATAATAATAATAATAATAATAATAATAATAACAATATTAATAATAATAATAATAAACAAACTTAAAGTATGCTGCCAAGTTTACAAACACAGTACTAGTCTACAATGCATGACTGCAATTCAAATTTAAACCTAAAACAATAAATGCTCTTATATTATAAACCAAGCATCTTGGATAGAATGCCAATTTCATTTAGAGCGAATAAGATGTCCACAATCGGTAGTGTAGGAAACAAGAGTACTGAGATGATACGAGATGCCCAATAATTTATTCAATGCTCCCGAAAAAAATTGGCCTAATAATTTATGATGCACACTAATATGCACAAGCTTATATTTGAAGGATACACGCTTCTCAAGACGTCGTAGCATGGCTGCATCCAATTCCCAGGGAAGATTTGTTGCCGCCAAGACAAAAACCAGTTCATCTGTCCGGGTCAAACCATCCATCTGCAATCTTAATCAAAATGATCAATGGTGGAGAAAGAAAAGCAGAATACACACGTCACTATATTAAGATGCAGTGTTTGAATTTCCAGAGGGCACAAGCTCCCAGGTAAACTGAAAAAACTTTCACAATTTCAAAGGCCAACTATCATGGCAAACTTAAATAACTAATAAATTATGCAGCGCCGAAAAGGAAAAACTTTAACAATTTATCTGGATATTTATGATTTCATTGGAAATAATTTTTAGTTAATTTGTTTGTATTCAAATTGTACAATGAAATGGTAAGGATCTTCCTTCGCACTGCAAGGGAAGTGAAAATCCAGGATATGTGCAATATAAAATAAGAAGTACATAATTCATTGGACAGCCGAAATTATTAATTTTCTGGAGATTATCATTATTGCTTATTTAAATTGTTGGAAGTCTTAAATCAACTAGTGATAAGTTCAGTTTAGAGTATAAAACCAAGTACAAACCTCACCTTACAAGCCAGTTTTGTGGAATTGAGTTAAGTTTAAAGTCTACTTCTTAACAAGATATCATAGTCATGGTTTAAAGTCTATCCTAACAAAATTTGTTGTTTGTGAGACATAATGTTCCACTCGTTATTGGATATCAGACCACCCATTAATGTCTAGTCCCACGCATAATATCTACATACCTTTACATGAGGGAGGTGTGTTGGAAATCCCACATCATCTAGTGATTAGGTCAGTTTAGAGTATATAAGTGGATGTAAACCTCACCTTACAAGCCAGGTTTTTAGGATTGAGTTAGACTTAAAGTCCACTCCTTAACATAAACAAATGATCCAACAACCTTCTAAAAGATCCATGTAAAACAGTTCTATGATATCAATACATAACCTGATTTCTCTTTGGTCATTTTCTAGTTTAAAAGTGTTAGAATAGGTTTTAAATGTAGGTAGGAAGTAGTTGAATTGAAAAATTAATGGATTAGCTTTATCTATGTTTGTACCTTGATCTTTGCTCTTCGCCATTCTAATTGTATAAGAATTCTATCAATATAAATATGAGAGCTTGTGAGGAAGTGATCAGGTACTCTCAAATTCATCCATCTGAAAAAGGAATTGTGATCTGGTCATTGTCTATGTAGTTCGCTACTGTCCGCTATAATATGTAGTCATCCGCCGTTATTCATCACTAAAGTTTTGTCCTCCGATACACCGCCACAACTGTCCTAGGTGCATATGTCTCACTTGCCACCTTCCAATGGTCGAAATCTTTTTGAACTACCACGAGATAACTTGTCGGAGCTCTTCGAGCCCATTGTTGCTCTCTATTTTTTGTTCTAGTACCATTTGGTGAAGTCTTCTAGTGTCGATCATAGTTTCTGTCACATAAAACCCTAGGTTTCTCTCTCTTGAAACCATAGTTTTCTCTCTCTTGAAACCATAGTTTTCTCTCTGTTCAAACCCTAGGTTGCCTTCTATTTTGATTATTGCATTACTGTATTGTCTCCCTACCTCAATCTTATTCAACTTATCTTCAGTGACTATCTCTCATGTCATAATTTCTACTCGTAAAAAGGGAGGTTGTGGCACTAGAGGGTGTCCTCATGGTTAAGCGTCCCCGATGCACATACTATAAAAGAATGGGTCAAACCTAAGAGAACTCTTACTCTTTACATGGCTTTCCAAACATGACAACAATATTTCTAAATTTGAAGTTCCTAAACCAATGTACTCTAGTGAAAAATATACGGAATATCTTAGGTTACAGTATGATAACCAAGCACAACCTTTCATTTATTCTATTTTGTCAAAAGCTTGTATTTCTCAAACCTTGTAGTGTCAAAGTTCATCAAAAACCGATTCAAGTACTTCTGATCACATTTCTAGAAATGCTGTTATTTTCTTGTATTTCTCATGCTAAATTACTAAATTTCTCATGTTATTACTTTAGACAATGGATCCAAAGATACTTCATAGGTAGTTTAGTCAAATCTCCCTGTCTCTTTTGTTTTACCAAAAGCATGTTCTTATTGTCCTTATTTGTTCTTTAAACCTAATTTTCTTAAGTCAATCAACCAAATTTTTAAATTTTTTCATAACCATTTATGCCAAGTTCTTTGTTATACAAGAACGTGGTACAAGTAGATTAATTGGTGAAGGACAAGAATATAGAGGACTCTAGTATCTTTGTCTAGTTCGTCAATGTCTTGTTTAGCATCCCAATCTCCTAAGCTCTTACATGATTGCTTAGGTCATCCACATTTATCAAAATTAAAAAGGATGTTTCTTGAACTTACAAACTTCAAGTCTTTGAATGTGAGTCATATCAACTAAGAAAACATGTTCAATCTTCTTTTCCATAAACAAGATGCAACTCTATATTTCTATAATTCATACTATCGTTTGAGGTCCAAGTTGAGTCACGTCTGTTAGTGTTAGATTGTTAAGATGTGTGTTCTTTTATGTTATTTGGGCTTAGTCTATTCTGTATTAAGGGCATTGGCCCATATCTTACAATATAAATAAACTACCCTATGTGTATGCTAAACACACAATGGATATTTTCTCCCAATCTTCTCTATTTCTCATATGGTATCTAAGAGCACAGGAATAGTTCCACTCCATCAACTATCCACGTCTCCGTCATCCACTCACTGCGCTGTCTCGCAGTCGCCCGCCGCCAGTGCCGCATGTCGCTACACGTTTCCAGAGAATCTTATCGCGTCGATGCCAGTCAGCTTCCCTGTTGGCCGTTCCATCGAATCGTCTCGACCCCCTATGGCTGACACCTGGGTACTGAAGATCGCGGCGTAACGTACCACCCACAGCGTTTCATCGTCCACCGTTCTGCCGCCGCAGCCCGTCCTGCGGTCCGCCGGAGCTTTTCCGCCGCGATCAGCAACCGCCGTGATCACCTCCTCGCCCGCTTTCTGATCTGTGGTCGTGTGCAGGATCAATCGGAGCAACTTTGATTTTAGGGTTTACCCCTCTCTCGATGGCCCGTTCCTTACAAACAACCTCTACATTGGTGGCTCATCTTCTGATCCCTCAATATATAATACCATTATGTGGAAAGTACAACTTGTCCCATCTGACAAGTTAGATGGCACAAATATAATAGGCACATGGCGTCCGTAGCATCAAACTTTGGTTGAAGAGTCAGGGGTATCTCTAGATCATACTACTCAAAATGGTGACTACTCTGCTCCCATAGATGACATTCTCCGCTGTATGAAAATGACTGCTCGTTATGGCCAATGTTATAAAAGTCCACCATATTCACATCCTCATGAAACAAATGTTTTCGCGATCCTATGAACTGATTCAGAGTTTGGGCACAAGGCGAAGTTGTTATAACACAAAAAAAAAATAGAAAAAGCAAAAACTCATCGTCTTATGGTGTTTTTGTTCAGAACCTATTAACTGTTTTATTGGTCCGCGCCAATCCTGGTCCAATGGTAGAATATTTGGGTACAATTTCCCATGCCCTTCTTCATGACTTTAATGATATATTACCTCCTGCTTCCCCTCCTGCTGAAGAATTGGAACAACGATCAAAGTTCTTCATGTTGTTGGCATTATACGGACTCTCTGATGATGTTTCTCATGTCCGTGATCCAGATTTTGGGTTCTCCTGTTCATAGCCCAACTTTACTTCTCTTGCTGCTCTTTTCGTATACCGAGCAAACCCCCGTCACTGGGTGTAGCCAATCCCCTCATAATTGATGATTCCCTGTTAAGGGCTGCTAATTCCGCATCCACCCTTGTGATGATCGAAGTCGGTCGTTCGCGTCAGCGCCACGTAAAGGAACTTCCAAGCTTCCAGGCTTGACCATGGTGTTGGCAAGCTTAAGCACAGTAACCACATAAACACAAACATACACACACACACAAAACATCCATACCCACACAAGCTTCAATGATTGATTAGTGGCCGGGTAATCTCAGCTGCGGCCTTAGCCCCTCTCTTCCTCCCGCTGGTCACGGTCTCTCCTTCCCCCCTCCCAACTCCGACACCTTGAAATAAGCCCCTCAGGCGCAAATAATCTGATCCACCTCCCCTTGATCACCGTCCTGCAGACCATACCACTCTCAATCTAATACCGTAAGACACGACTACACCCCACATAGCCATCTTTACGAATGTGTCCGATGGGATGAGTCAATCTCCTCTCAACATACTCTGGTTCCACTCCATCTGCAGTATGTTGCACGTACAGTACACCTTTGTTGGTCTAATCACTCCCTCGACCTTGGGTCCTTGACTCGGCGCCACCGATCAGTATCACTGGTAACAGTCCTTGTTTCTTTTTTTTTTTGTTTTTCTTCTGTCATGTCCGGATAATTTACCTCGTAACAAATGGCTGATGTGTCCTAAGTCTCATCTCATGGTATTGGTACTGTTAATAATTGTTTTCCATCCGATATCCATGATCAGTATCTTTATGTCCCTTGGGTCTTCCCTTCACTTATGTCATTAGTCGTTTTAACTCGTACTCTTTAATTGTGTTATTTTCATCTTACTAAAGATTCTGTTTGGTTGCAGAACCGGAGTTCGAAACACATGATTGGCACAGGATGTGAGTCTCATGGCCTTTATCATCTCCGCTCTTCTCCACATGTTGGCATAGTCATGGAGTCCACCATCCCTTCTTCATGCTCAGTTCGATCATCCTAGTCTTGCCAAACTACAACAACTTGTCCCGAGGTTGTCCACATTATCAAGTTTGTCGAGTTTTTGGTCTACATGTTTTTGTTCAGGATTTTTGTCCGGTCTTGATAGTTATCTCCTAGGTCTCAGCAAATGTGTCTTCTTAGGATTTCCTTCCACGTCACAAAAGGGCTATAAAACTGTTTTTTTCCTTCCCCTTCCCCTCATCGTCATTGTATCTTCTGGCTGATGTCACTTTTGATGATCTTCTTTTGTACTTTTCACATCTATCTTCTAGTTTTTTGTACTCTCCCCTCCCTGTTACTGTTGATTCCTCTATCTGTGACCTCCTGGTGATGCTCCCCCCATTTTGTCTCTCCTTTAGACTCTCATTCAACCACATGATCCATCCTTCTTT